CGGTCTCACAGGACCTTCGCACGAGCTGTGGTCAGGCTGCTTTTGCTTAAGGGTCGGGGGGCAGAACTTACCAGGCCAACTGCAGATTCAGATTTGGCGGTGTTGGTGGGGAGGGCTCAACACAGGGACAATGGCAGCTGTCCCTCCAGCCCTCCTCTAAAGCCACAACTCAGTCTCTCCCTGCATGTCTCTGGCACCGCCCAAGCTGCCGTCCCTGGGCTGGAGCCCAGGGCCAGTGCGTCTGAGCTAGAGGGTCTGTACACCCGTCCTTTAAGAGGATGCCTGGGTTTCCAGTCCTTCTCTGTCTTACCAGACGGATGGAATTTCTGCTGGGTTTTCACAGCCAGGTGGTGTGGGGTGTCCTTCCAGGCACTGGTCCTCCAGGATGGGGATCCCGGTGTGGTGCTGGGACCCCTAGTTCCTCATGGGGAACCTCCGCAGCTGAGAAATCCTACCCCATTCTCAACCACCATGTGTGGGTGTGGCAGCGGCCTATTTCCTGTCTCCGCCCCGCCTACCAGTCTCAGGGCGGCTCCTTTATGTCTTTAGTTATAGGACCTCTGTTCAGCCAGACTGCAGATGGCTCTCCAGGTTGATTGTTCTGTGATTTAGTTGTAGTCTTGATGTCGCCATGGGAGGAGGCGACACAGTGTTTGCATACTCCGTCATCTTTACTGGAACTCCCATTTATGCCATTTTTGAGCAGTTCTTTTTTAGTTTTTTCTTTGCTGATTTCCAGCTCCTTGTTTATTACTGTTTTGTTTTTAAAGGCATAGAATAAGTTGATTTCTTTCTACGTCAGAATCAGTGACTTCAGAGTCTTGAGTTTTTTGTGTGTAATGTCTCGATCTTTTATTCAGTTTGATGATGTAGCTGAAAAGTCTTAAAAGATCACGTTCTAAAGTTGTAGTGTGAGCCTCCTAACGTTGGAAAAAGGACAAAAGCCTATGTTCGGTTTTTAAATTGTTATAGCATGTGTGGCTCTGTCTCACGTACTTACCAAAACAATAATAATAAACCGAGTTGGCCTGCCTCACAGTTCAATCGGCTCTCTTTATTGTGGGCTCAGGGTTTGTCAGCTGTGTTCCGTTCTGGCATTCTCCATGTTAGCTAGGACTGTGACCCAACCTTCACCCAAGAGCTGATTTCCTCCTTGGCCCCCTGTACTTGCAGACCCCAAACGCGTGACGCGATAGACCTTGAGCGCCATGGAGAAATTTTCTAGATGTGCACTTGCTGAGGCATCATCTAGCATACCCTTGTGATATCTCAGTTTCATCGGAACCAGAATGAGCCGCATTTTGGGTCCGGATTGCATTGGGAATGAAAGATTTTGTGACCTTTCTGTGCATATAGGGGGTCAGGAGTCGATCCCTGGCAGGGAGGCGGCTCTTCTCAGAGGGCCGGTCAGTGCTGTGTCTCTCCAGCCTTGGGGACCTGCTCACTGCAGGATTACGAGCTTTCTCGAGTGCTCCTCGTTAGGCCCGATTTTCTGCTCCGAATAGTGTTCCCCTAAAGATTTCCCATAATACTTGGCTTTCACATCTGTCATCGGATCGTTGCAAGCTGGGAAGCAGAGGGGGTAAGTGGCTTTCCTCAGTGACACGGCCAGGTAGCAGCACAGCAGGCCTGCCAGCCACACTCACTCTCGCCAAGTCACCCACACGTCCTCCTGTGGGCGAGTTTCGGAAGAACCGAATCTGTTCTCTTTTCCATCACGCTTTTCGCTTTCTCAAATAAGGTGCGGGTCAAAAGGTTCTGTTCGTGAATTAAACTCGGACCACTAGATGCCAGTTTTGTTACCCGAAGGAAATGGAGGGGAAGGCTCGTCTCGAAGGACGTCGCAATTAAAAATTGCCGAAATTTGTATTTCCTTTGAAGAACATGGCAGCTTCCGCATGTTTTCCATGTGATCCTTTTTCAGCTCGAAGAGGAGAAAAGGAGACAGAAGATTGAAATGTGGGACAGCATGCAAGAGGGAAAAAGTTACAAAGGAAGCGCCAGAAGGCCTCAGGTGAGCGCGGACCGGCCGAGCCGCCGTGGTCAGGGAGACGAAGGTTTGGCACAGGAATGTTTTTCAGCCCGTGTGTGTTTAAACAGGACGACGACAGCCCGGGGCCTTCGACCTCATCAGTTCTCCCGAAGCGGAAGTCTGACAGAAAGCCTCTGCGGGGAGGAGGTGAGTACCAAAGGCTCACGCATTCCGGAATGCACGTTCCTTTTTAATTAAATACCAGATTCTCCTTCATTTCGTCGTCTGTAAATTGCGACTCATTCCGAAGCTTAGGATTATGCCGATTACATAAAAGAAACAGATGCAAAGCAACCTTTACTGGCTGGGAGTCGCCTGTCCACTGAGCCCCGTCGCCCAGGAGGCCCAGAGCAAAGGATGTGGGTACAAATCCCGCTTCCAGTGTCCTCGACCTCGGCGTCCTTCAGGGAAAAAGTCAATATTGAATGAGAGATTGAAAAAGGAGGTCAGTCCAGCCCTCAGTAAACAATTACGGTGACTGCGCTCAGGTTTCTTCCTTGGTCCCACCCAGCCCCGTAAAGGCCGCCACGTTTCTCAGGGAGACACGGCCAGACGTCCAGTCGGAGCTCTTTTCTCTGCCCCCCACCCCCCGGCGCTCTAGGATCCTGGAGCCGCCTGTCTCCGGCCCATCCCTGAGGACCTTCACGTCCTTTTGGGAAGATGGGACTCACACACGAATGGCAGGAAGCGATCCGTGTGCTGGGCCAGGAGCTCTGCATCAGCCCCGAGGGAGGGGAGGGCAGAGGGCTTCGAACCTCGTGTTCTCATCGGGGGCGGGGCCGTCTGTGGGGGCGCGGGGCAGCTCCTGGGGACGACCGTGCAGAGGGAGGAGCGTGGTTTCTAAGGCAGCGCAGACACAGACCGGGTCGCCCTTCAAGGCTGAGCTCTGATCCCCTCTGCGTCAGGACGCCAAACCTGGCTTCCTACAGGGGAGTGAGGTACCTGGAAAGGAAAAGCCATTTTACAGCTTTCTCTTGCTGGCAGACCGTCTTTCGGAGCACATGGTGGTGATATTTAGGACAGGAGTGGAAATTTTAGAAAATAAAAAGCGTGACACGCTTATGCGCATGGCTTCCCAGTGTTCCCCGCACTCGGGAACTGTGCGCTTTGACTAGCCTGGTTTTACAAACAAGGAAACCGAGGCACGGGGAGTCATTGCCCAAAGATCTCGTAGCAAATAAGGCGCCAAGCCATCTCACTCGAGGTCTCACTGACTCTGGGGCCTAAGCAGTCCCCCTGGTCACCAGATGTCCTTTAACTTCGGGACACTAGTGCATGGTGGGGGACAGGCAGGTCGATCACCCAGTTCTGACTGGTAGAAGCAGTCGGTTCCATTCTGTTTTGCTTTTTTAAATATACTTCTGTAGCTTGAACGGTCCTATTTGAATGTATACATTCTATTAATATGTAGGAGGAGTAGAAACCTTCACATACGTGCATCCAGCCATCTTGAGAGATTCGTGTGTGTGTGTGTGTGTCTGTGTGTGTGTCTGTGTGTCTTGGGGAGTTAAGCTGAATCGGTTTTTTTCCTACCAGAAAGTCAAGACAACTGAAATCAGAATATAAAGTATTTCGTTCATATAGTGGATAAAAGTTCTACGAAAATGCCCACGAGTATAGACTCCATGTCTTCGCAGTGCTTCGCACGTCAGGCTCACGGTTTTACGTTTGATACATGATGTTCCCAGCACTGATGTCCTTCCTGTCTCTCTCTCGTCTCAGGTTACAACCCTTTGTCTGGCGAAGGCGGCGGAGCCTGCTCCTGGAGACCTGGACGCAGAGGCCAGTCCTCCGGTGGATGAGGCTAAGAATCTTGCTGGTGTCGCTTTCGACATTAGCAAGATGAACCCTTAACCCTCAGTTCAATTGCCTTACGCACGCTTTTCACAGTGACTAGCCAAGGGGACGTGGAGTTTTATTTCTGTTCTTAACTACACCTGTATCTTGAAGAGTTGGCGTCAACATAGGGTATAGATAATTGCCACTAGGCAGCAGTGGCAGTTGGTCACGCTTCACTAAAGCCAGTGACTGCATCATTGATTTCATGGGTAATTGGCAGTTGGTAGGTAAAAGCTTCCCGGTGATTGGCGATGTTAATAAAAGAGACCTATGATCCTTCGGGTTAGAAGTCCTCACTGGCAGGGCCGTCTCTGTGACAGGTTGCGTTGAATGAAGTCTTCCTTGTAAACGGTGAGCCCGCCAGCGAGGATTACTGAAGCACACAGTTGATGGGGTTGTTTCTGTATATTTACTTTTATGTACAGAACTTTGTAAAAAAAGAAACTGTAAATATTTAAAAAAAAAAAAAAAACTGCAAAGAACATTTTTTAGCCTCTTTGTTAAAATTCAGAATATCTTTATGAACTTGAATTTGTGAACCAGTAAGTGACCTTATCGCGCACGACCTCTTACGATTACTTATTTCCCCACCCGTTCTCACCCGCAGCGCGCATGGCGAGTGGCAGGCTCCTCGGGAGAAAGCTTACAACATACGAAGTTTTAGATCCGGATGAAAATGCTTCATCCAGATTTGTTGTTCACGACTAGAAAGATTCCCTTGTAGGACATGAAGAATTGACTCATTCTTTAATATATTTTCTGTCGCTGAAAATGTTCCTGGAGAGCGGGGTCCTCTCCCAGGGCGTTGTCCAGGGTCTTTATGTCTCAAACAAAGAATTGAGCAAGACAGCGAAATACAGTAGAAAAGAAAAGTTTTATTAGAAGGGAAAGTCCACTTCTGGACATGCAAACGGACTGAGCGAGAGAAGCCTGGCTCAAAAGGCCTGGGCAAAGCCTTCGGGGTTTGATCCCTTTTTCTGTGGGTGGTCACTTTTCTTAGAGGAGTGGGCTTCCTTGATTGACAGTTAAGATTGACAAGACTCAGTGATTCATCATTTGCTTTCTGTGCATGTTCCCAGAATTCAGTCTGTTATAATGATATTGATGAACTTCCGGGCATATGCATCGTATTATAATGATAGTATAATGAGGCTCAGGTGAGTTGAAGGTCTTTGGGGGTCTTCATTGCGCGGGTGCGAGTGACTGGCTTAAATTGGTACCTAATTCTCTGCCTGCTGGTTTCTTTATGTGAGTTAAAAAAAAAAAATGCCTCCTGGCTGGCTTGATGGTGGGCAGAATTGGGCAGACCCCCTCTAGGATAGGATGACCTCAGTGTCTTTGCAGACAGACCCTCCCTAACT